AAAATATGCCATCATGAAAATTTCCAGCAAATGGATGGAACTAGAAAATAACATCCTGAGTGAGGTAACCCAGAACCTGGAAGACAAATATGGTATGAGCTCACTCCTCAGTGGACATTAGCTGCCAAGCAGAGGATAACCAGGCAACAGCCACAGAGAAGCTAAGCAACAAGGAGGGCTCCGGGGGGGGGGGGGGGACTCCCCGTGAATCTGACTGTGACGGGAAAACAGAATAGACCTCACAGTGGCTGGAACGATGGCTCAATGGTTAAGAGCTCTGACCGCTCTTCCAGAGGACCGGGTTTCAATTCCCAGCACCCACATGGCAGCTCACAACCGTCTGCAACTCCAGTTCCAGGGGATCTGAAACCTCACACCAATGTCCATAAAATTGAATATATCATATACATAAAAAATAAAATAAAAAACAAAACAGACATCACAGGTGGATGGGAAGGTCTGAATGGGGACGTGGGCATGCTAGAGGTCAGGTAGGGGGAGGATGGAGGAGAGAGAGTCCTGGGAGTACTGGGAGCATTGGGAGGAACAACTGGAATCTGGGGGCACCTCTGGGATGAGCTGGAAACCTAGTGCAATCCCAGAAATCTATGAAGATGACCCTAAGATTCCTAGCAATCGGGGATACAGAGTCTGAACCAGTCATCTCCTGTAACCAAGAGAGACTTCCAGTGGAGCATTTGGTACCCAAACCCATAGATCGTTGTCTAGACAACTGTCATCAGAGAGGTTTCCTCCAGTGACTGATGGAAACAGACGCAGAGACCCTCAGCCAACCATTAGGCCTGCTTTGGGAAAGAGGCGGAGGAAAAGGTCGTGGGAGTTCAAACACTGATGGGATCAAGCCCGGACACCTTTAACCCCAGCACTCAGGGAGGCAGATGCAGGTGGATCAGGCGGATCTCTGTGAGTTCAAGGCCAGCCTGGTCTACAAGATCTAGTTCCAGGACAGGCTCCAAAGCTAAAAAAAAAAAAAAAACCTGTCTTGAAAACACACACACAAAAGAAAAAAAAAAAAACAAAGAGAGAGAGAGAGAGAGAG